GTTCCGTTTTGGTAGTTTGAACCTAAAACATATGGATGTCATTTCTGTCAGTTTCTGTGTCTGTAGCAAGTGGAGGACTTTGACATCTGTTTTCAAGCCTGTTCTCTTCCATGCAGGAAGAATGAGGGTTTTTAATTTTCCTCACTGATAGATTCGCAGCATTGTAGAAAAGAATCATTGAATAATTTAGGTTGGAAAAGATTCTTGTGTGAGTCCAACCCTTAATCTAACACTGCCAAATCCAACGCTAGACCATGTCCTCAAGTGCCACATCCACTCATCTTTTAGATACCTCCAGTGAGGTATCTAAACCTGTTACCAGGTTTTTCTTCAAATGTGGTGATTTGTTGTAAAATGGAGATGTGTTAGCCGACAGTACTTAGTCTTGAGAAGTGACTTGTTAGCATAGTAGTTCGTTTTATAGGAGCAGCTAGGCAAATAGATGTTGACTATAAAGTAATGTAGGAAAATTTGAATAGTCATGATCACTAATGCAAAGTAAAAATTAACACTATAATCACTACTATTGCAGTTACCAATAACTGTGTAGTGATTTATTACAGATTTGTCCTAATTTAAAAATAGCAATTTATGTGGTAATGAGAGAATGTAAAATATCATTATAGAGCAATATAAAAAAAAAAATCTCATTAGTGCAGAGCCAATCTTGTTAGTCATTTGCTTTCAGAAGTCTTGTGAAATTTGGGCAGAACTCAAGTGGCCCTGTAGTTCTTGAACAGAGATCATACTGTGATTTTTATGTAGTTATGTGCCTTCTAAAAATCTGGTTCTAGTTGTTTTGCTTCTATAAATGTGTATTGGTCTACAACATTTTTTACCACTGCTGTGTTGGATAAAACCAGATTAAACCTGGATGTTGTTTGAACAATGTAAGAAAGGTTAACTCTCAAAAACAAAAAAATAAAACAAAAAGAAAAAATGATGACAGCTCAGTAAGACATACTCCATTTAATTGAGCTTGTAAAAATATTTCTTAATATTAAAATTTTTACAATACACCTAAATATTTATGATTTATACAGGAACATTAGTGCTATTTGGACAGACTTCAAATGTGGAGGAAGCTTTCTGTAGGAAGAAAAGTGGTTTCATTCATGAAATAAGCATCCATTCTGAATAGTGGATATATCAAAAATTAAGAGATATATCAAAAATTAAGAGATATTTTAAAAGGACAGGATAATTCAGAGTAGTAAATAAGCGTACGAAAATGGCAGGAAATTTTTGCAGATTTTTTCCCCTACATGACATGAAATTGTATAACATTCCCTCTTTTGATTTACTCAGGAGTCTTCTAAAATTCTCCTGATTCATCTGTTGAGTTTTTTTATACACATGATCAATTCACATACGTCCAACAGTAATGTCTTTATGGATTTTAATGAGATTCAAGCTCAGGTTCTGGTTTTTTTCACCAGTGCAAATCCAGAATGCAGGATTAGAAGAATCCTATAGTTGTCCTAGGTGTGTTTTGAACTGTCAGGTTTTTTTAAGTTTGTAGGCACTACTTGTTGGCATCGTCTTTGTCATGTGATAGTTACAGAGCTGACTGGAATATAAACATTGTCTGTCTCAAAGCCAGGGCATTTGGATCAGGGGACCTTAGTTTTGTTTAAAAACATTTTGATTTGCTTTATAAATGCCGATCTCAATTAAAAGCAGCATGTTTGAAGATTAAATGACTGTGATAAGCAGCTAGGTTACCTTAGGTAGCCCTGAGTAGCAGTGTAACACTGCAGTTACTCAGATGTGCTTACACTGTCTTTTAGGGAAAGTTACTGCCATATACTAAGTAGTATTTCAGAGAACTTAGAGAACACTGGCACATTTGTTGACAGCCTTTAATTGCTCTCTTGCATGTGGTGTACACATGGTTCTGTCAGTATTTTTTCTAAGTTTCTGACAGCTCTTTAGAACTATTTTTGGGTTTAGGCCAATAACAAAACAGTACTGTAGCTGAGTATCCATACTTAATCTTATTGTCAGCTTAATGAGATTCAAGCTCAGGTTCTGGTTTTTTTCACCAGTGCAAATCCACAATGCAGGATTAGAAGAATCCTATACTTGTCCTAGGTGTGTTTTGAACTATCAGGTTTTTTTAAATTAGTGAGTTATTAACACTTTAATTGTTCTGTCAACAACACTGTGAGCAGTCTCCTAGTGCAAGAAAAAAAGCTCCATCTGTAGCTTAACAACTCCATGTGTGGCTTGAATTCCTTCATGAAGTGAGCGTTCACAAATGAATGCAATACACAGAAAAACTGAGCAGGCATTGAAATTGCAGAATCACAGAATAGTTGGAAGGGAGCACAGTGGATCATCTGGTCCAGCCTTCCTGATAGTGCAGCTATTGCATATTTCTATGAAACTCAGTTTATTTTCAAGAGCGTTGTGGGGCGAGTTCTTTCTAATAAGACATGATAACTTTAAGACTCATTTATTTCCTTTGTCATAATACATTTTGGAGGAAATAGTCTTAAAACCTTGCTTCATTTTGGTTGGTATTTTGAAATAAAAATTTATGGTAATGAATATAAAATTCATACGTGATAAACCTTTGTTTGTGTGTGTTTATATCCATGAAAGACCACATGCAACAAGAACTATGCTCTTCTGTCTTTTCTTTTAAAACCTGAACACATATTTATCATATAACCAAATTACAATTGTATTTTTTACCTTTGCCTAGGAAAATAAAAGAATTCAAAGAAACTTTCAATTTTTTAAAAAATTTGAACAAGTATAATAGCTCACTTGTATTTTTTTATTATTTATTTTCAATTTGAATTTCACTGCAAATATCTGATAGAAGTGACTGTTGCTTAGTGTTCTGTTTCAAGGTTATACCTTTACTATAAGATCAAATTCTCTTTAGCATTAATACGCAGTGCTTAGGTTTATTTTTTGCACCATAAGAGAATTCAAGAGAATTCAGCACATTCAGGAGAAATTATCACCTCATATTCTATTTATATACTTAACTGCAATGATTAAACAGATTAAAAAAACAGATTTCAAGGGCTGTGTTCTGGTCCTGAATTTTGTTCCTGATCCTGCCAAGATTCAGTTGCATGCCAGTTTGCATCCTTAAGTCTTGTGCCATTAATGTTCACCAGAACTCCTTAGCCTTGAACTTCCAGGTAGACACGTGCATAAACCCTATAAAGCTTAGAGCTCTTTATTCCATGGATGCTGTTCTGGTGGAAGAAGTAACTGTAGTTTCTTGCTATTACCAATTCCTGTGTAATGACATTTATTACTGCATTTTGAGGGAACTCATTACCAGAAGCTGCTAGACTCCTATTTAGTTATTAGCTGAGTACAATTAGAATTGCTTTAATCAGCTGAGCTTGTTCAGCTGAATTCACATTTTCTTTTGCTAAAAGAGAGATCTGAGTTCATCAGCCAGTACTTCAGACAGTTTGAAACCATGACCTTAAATAATCCCGGATGTTCTGACCGTATGCAGTCAAGAAATGTGTTATTTAATGAATTAGAGAGAATGGTTATCATCTTTAACCACTCCTTGTACTCAGTTTAATGTCTGTTTTTTTGCAACAGGGGATATAGCCTTCCTAATGACATGTACATACCAAATTCTTACAGGACAAGCCAGCATGCAAATTCTTTTTTCATAACTATCTAAATTTTCAAGTACTTTAAAACTACTTGATGCTTCTTTGATAGTCTGAAATTTGGGGGATGCAGGCAAAAAATATTCATCTTCTAATGTGAAGATTCCTGCTATCTACAGCTTTGTGCCAGATAGCTCTAGACCAATTGACTGATTGTTACCAGAGATAAGCTTCCACCAGGACCTTGGTATTTAACTGTTCCTCACTTCTCTGCTCAGTAGCTTCCCAGAGGGAAGCTTTCTGAGTTTTGCATGGCTGATATGTCTGCATTTCCTCCTTGTAGGAGGCTTGGGGGTTAGTGAAAAAAGTCTAAGTCCAACATAGTTCCCAAACTTCATTGGTTTGAATACTCTCTGGAGATTTTTGAAAACAATGTGGACGAGAAGGTGCTTCTATGGGATAGAAAGATGTCCAACAGAAGCTGTCGGCTTACTATTGTTTGCATCAGTTCTCGCTATGCAGGTTAAAACACCATTTATTCTTTATGCTTAGTTTTGAGTCAGCTAACTGGAGAAAGTAAACCACTAATTTCAATTTAGAGCTTAATGTATACTGTGTGGGGCTGGAAGAATGGCAGTATAAGTAAAAAAATTAATGTGTCTTCTGGTGTAAGAGTGGCATTATTTTGGAGTTAGATTATGTTGCCAGTAAGAGCTCAGTTATATCCAGCAGCTACACTGACACCAAAGATGCTGAAAGAAAGAGAAATCCTAATGGCCTGAGCAAAAGAAAGGAATACAGAACTTGTTTTGGCTTATAAAGTCCTCAAAGTCTGAAAACATGGAAGATCTTATGGGAAATGTGCATCGACTAAACCAAATCAAATTCAAAAGCCTTTGAATGAAAGAGTGCAAAGGCAGTGTGGACTGAGTCTGAATGAAAGAAGAGTTGCTTAGGTTTAGCTAATCAGATCTCATAGAGATTTTGCTCTAAGTTAAGATGATTTCAGGGCTGATGAGATGAAGAAATCTGGAAAAACAGGCTAGTGGACCTGACTGTTGAGGCAAAGGGAAAAAATAATATGCTGCATTATTTCTACTTTCATGTCAAGCTTCTTAGGTTTGGGCTTTACTTTGAGATACCGTGCCTAGCACTGAAAGTTTCTTTAACACATTGTTGCTGACAAATTGGAGTTGTGATGATGAAGTGGTACAGGTTTTAATTTATGACAGTTTTTTTTTGTTGGGTAGGAGGAATAGAACCATATTTTCCTAAAAATACATTATCCATATTTCTCAGTAGTTGTACCTGAAAAAAAGAACTTATGATTATTGGGGAAAAAAGTATTTAAAATTATTATTTATGTTGTCTGCAAAATAATATTAATTTTTTTTTCCTCCACAGTAAAACCGACAGTTATTGATGTTGACATTTATGTTAACAGCATTGGTCCTGTATCATCAATAAATATGGTAAGTGACTTACTTAGATTTTTATCTGGATTGCTGATCTTGGCATCAACACTAACTTTTGAAAAAGACATTAAGTACCCCAGTGATAAGTTGTTTTGATTCTGATTTACTCCTGTCTTCAGCTATAATTCTGGTTTTTGTGTCTCATCAAGAGAACAAATCTGTAAGCAATATTACGTTCTGTGTAATATCTTGAAAAATGCTGATAGGTCTTCAGTGGTAAAATAGCCATCTTAGGACAAAAAAAGTATGAAGTGAAGTCATTTCCAAGAAAACTCTTGAGATGTTGTTTCAAGATGCAATCAAATACACAGAGCTTAATAATGTGGAGTTAATGAAAGTCATCATATAATAACAGCATATTTATTTGTAATTCATAATCTCTTCAGTGGTTGTTTTTCTTTCACTGAGTTACTAACAATCTTGAATGTAAAAGTATAATTTTGAAGAAGTTATACATAGATGTACTGCATGTGTAAAGGCAGGAGAAACTGAAAGAGTGTGATGGTGTGGCAGTAATAAACCTATGGTTGGTCCCTTGTTACAGTCTGAACTCTAAGTCTTTCCTCAGTGCTGCAGCAACATATTCAGATTTAGAAAGAAAGCTGAATATTTGTGTAGCTATGGGGTTATGGGTAGCTGTGGCTGCTTGTGTAACTTTTGAGTTTGGATTCATCATATTATTCCCCTTCTTAAATTAGGTTGATTTTTTTTTTTTAATACAATTTGGAAATGGAGGACCTGTTAATATCTTCCTGTACTTAAAGATTTTAAAATAACCTCTTCAAAGCAATGTCTCTTTTCCACAATGGCATTCAAAGGCTGCTGTGTACAATGTTCCTATAAGAATCTAATGAATGCATTGCATGTATCTTTTGTATTTTTGGAAGAAAAGCTCCTGAATTTAAAAGGTGTCTGTTCAGCTTTATTATTTGGCTTTGCCTATAAATATGAAAGAAGGCAAATCATTGCAGCATATCAAAAATAAGGTGGTCAGAGACTCCTATGCACCCTCGCAGTTGAAAATCTGGCAAGTAAACACAGAAACAAATTATGTGCTGTGGACAAATTGGTGTCATATTCACCAACTGTGAAATGTGTTGATTGCTATTTCATGTGAAGTACTGAATGTCAAGCAATGGGAGTAGCTGCTCCATTCTTGAACTAATAAATAGCTAATTATTTTGCCCTTCCCTGATGGCCTACCATAATGACTTCTGTGGAGAACAATTTATTGGAAGGTCCTCTGGCTTGCATTTACTCTAGGAATGGGCATTCTGTTCAGAAGCAATGGGGACAATGTGTTTTTGCTCTTTGCCTCTCTGAATTTGTTTGTAAGTAGAATTTTGGGGTGCTGGAAAAGTATGTGGAATAATAAGAAAGCATTTCATCAAAACCACTTTAGGTAGAAAGAAAAAATTAGTAATAGAAGAAATCAGTGGGTTTTGGATGATTGTAGCAAAGTCTTACTTATGCATTAACTTTGAGTTTGAGATACCCTTTGAGTTCAACATACCCAAAAATAGATAAATGCACCAAAATATCAGTTTTAAAAATGCATATTTTATTATAATAAATGGTCTCATTAGGATAGTTAATGAGTGTATGACATTGAGATATTTCTTGCTTTCAGCTGAAGAAAAAATATATGCAATGTGTAAGGGCAGAATAAGTAAAATAATGAAATAGAAAATTTAGGTATCTGAGGTTTAAGGACCCAAGGCTGCATAAAGTTATATTTAAACATTTGAATAGAAATGGAACTAAATTAAATGAAACTTTTGAATAGAAATTATTTCAGATGTGCTTGTTGTGGACAGTACATCCCACTGAAACTGAATGTGAAATACCTTAGTACTTTTGAACTTCATTTCTGTTCTCAAAACTAATTACCAATATAGGAAATTAACATTAGGCACTCAAATGTAACAAACCTTTGTCCAGAAGCTCAATTTCTGCTCTGTTACTTTGGCATTTGTCCAAACATACATAAGAGAGCAGTAATGATCTTGCAGTCTCAAATTTACAGCGAAGACGGCAAGTCCTCACAAAATTGCCATCCACTGTGCTGTGTGATGGCTTGTCTCTGCAGTGGCAGAACTGATTGAGAAGCTTCTTTTTACACAATAACACAATTTGTGTTATTTCAACTGTTTGGCTACAGTATTCAGTAGCCATCATTTGGTCTACTGGAAGAAAAAGATCGAACACTTTTTGGAATTAAAAATAATAATTTATTTACTTTTAAGTAAGCAGTTTTTCATGTAGACTGTGAACCACTGAAGCATGGGTACACAAAGAGCTGAACAGAAATAGAAACTAGAAATTACCTGTGTTAGAGAAGAGGAAGAAAGGAAGTCTTCAGTCTGGTATCTATCATATAACCGAAATTTCAGGCGGAGAGGAATGTGCATGAAAATCTCATTTCAAGAGGAAAAAAAAAGAGGGATTCTTGGTAGAACCCACCTATGCTCTTTTTCTCACCAGGCAAGAACTTTTAACTTTTCTCCCCTATATTGTTATTAAAAGTTGAGCTGTTCTGTCCAGGCAACTCAGTAAGGTGGTGGCTCATTTAGCAAAAAGAGCGATGATTACTTTGATTTCCATCTCTTCTATTTCAAGGGTGAGATCATCAACACGTACAAGGCAGACTTTCCTGCTGTGTACTTCCAAACTTAGACCTTAGCTCAATTACTTTTTTCTTAGTCTGCAGCACTTCTGAGGGAAAATCATGTGGAGCTTCTCTAGAAATCAAACTCTGCATGTATATTTTCTGATCAGTTTTCATCAGTAATTTTCATCTAGTGGGTGAAACCTAGGAAATCATTTTCTTTAAGATATTTTTTCAATGGATGTTCAGCTGAATGTTCAAGCTGATTTTGTAGAGCAAAGCTTTTCAGATGTCACTAACTGCTGCAATTATGTTTAGACTTGAGTATGAATATTAATATCTGTTTCTTTAACAGTCAGGAAAAAGACAGTTGCTGTCAGACACCTACTTGTAGCAAAGTTATTCTCAGATGAATTGCATGTGAATACAAGGAAGAATGAAACTTTTTAGACTGAGGCTGTAACTACCACATGGGGAAGAAATGTTAGCCATCAAAAAGGCTTCAAGTCAAAGGAGAGATAGTGTTCTGTGGCAAAGACAGCATAATCCACAGGAATATACGGCTAACCCTGCATTCCAGACTTTCTGCGGAGAGTTGCTGCCGCTTGCCCTAGAAGTCTCATCAGTGTCTCATTTTCTAGATTCTTTCAATATGTCTATTTTAAACCTCAAGATTTCCAGAAAGAGTGAAACAGTAATGTGGTTGGTGTTCTATTAGAGACTCATCATTATAATATCTTTATGAAGAAAATGGGAACTTGTTTTCTTAATAGACAGGGGTGACTCCTCCTTTGTCTGTGACATGAAAGATTTCTTTGGGTCATGGTTTAAAAAACCTGGTATGAAGAAATAGCTATTGTGTAATAATAGACAAGGAAAAACAGACTGAATAATGAACTGAGTGATACTAGGAAGTGGTTGTGAAGGGCAATAAATTCAAATAAGTAATTTCAGCATTTTGAGTTATGATATGTTATGGGAGATACTGTTGATTATTATGAGTATTTTGAATTTAAAATGCCAAGATACATGAATGCCCATTCAAAAATTTTAGGTCTTTTTAATAAGTAAAAGCCATCCTATGTATAAATATCTTGATGCCTGTCCTTTATCAAGAACATAATAGGATGTGAGCTTAGACTCATTTAAAGGATACAAAAACGGGTTTATTCAAAAGTAAATGACAAATGCATTCTATGAGCCAAATTGTATGTTCCTGTGTGCACATTATATTTCTTTGTCTTGGTTTTCATCATCTAATAAAGTAAGTTAAAGAAATCTGCAATTTGCCACTTCAAGGTGCAATGTCATTAGAGACATTGAGAGATTAGAGAGGTTGTATTGTAGGATGCAAGATTTTAATTGTCTTTTCTTACTGAAAATCTTTGTTATATCTGTAATTATAATGAATGCTCTTCCACTATATTAGGAGATCTTAATGGTCCTCTAAATGAGTTCTTTTAATTAGTTTTTTAAATTTTAGAATTCATTTGCAATTTTTTTCCTCATGCTTTATATTATAAACCAGATGTATGAATTCCATATCATGCAGTTTTTATATATCTGCCTTTTTTTCTTTTCTTTAGTATTTTCTATTGAAAATGGTGTCCAGGAAGCATATGTTTTTGCATTAAAACCCATAATCCATTTTTTGTCAACCCTCCAGTTCTTGTCAATAGCTGTAAAGGTTTATAGATTGCCTTGTAAACCATAGTCTTAACTTGGCTTACTGTAGCCTGGTTTTCTACAGATAAGCAATGCTGGCTTGTCTGTAAAAGAACAGAAGAGGGAAAGAGACCAATAATCAAATTGGGAACTAGACATAAATAGTGGGGGAAAAATCCCCTAGAAGTAGTTTTGTGAGACAGAAAGGTAAACATGCTGAGATTAAATAGACTATTAAACTTCAGTGGCATCAAAGCCTGTGTATTTGTGCATTCACACATACAGGGTTAACCGAGTAGCTAGAAGAATCTGAGATTGCAGCACAAATTGCTAGTGAAGGAAGAATTTTACACCTGTGTGGTTTTTGCAACTGGAGTTTCATTTTAACACAGCTCTACAGAAAGAATGTTAAAGAGTGTGAGAAGCAATTTTATGAACTGTACTTACTTGTCCATAAAAATAATAATGTGTTACCTGTTGGTCATCTCTTTATTCTCAAGTATTCTTAAATGGCAATTCAGAGTGTTTCTTTTATGTACTTCATCACTTCATTCTATTGTGTCCACTCTCTAGGCTGTGCCATATATCTTTATGGGCGCTATATTTCCTATTTTTTCAGTTAAGTGTTCTAAAATAAAAGCAATTTTTACTCTATTTTACCCTTTAATGTATTGGTAGACTTCTTTGAACTTCAGTTTCAAAGTCCCCACATGCTCGTTTTGCT